CGACCATTGGTACTTACCCGTGAAGGGTCCTTCTCCCTGAGGCTTGGAGGACATCTTGGCCCGCCCGGGTCGTCATACTAACATTCTACTCAATTACTTCTTTTTCCTCCTCAAAATATACGTATCAACAGTGAGAGGGAGATATGTGTACTATAGTACTGCCAGTTTACAGGTTTACCGGTTTATGCAAAGTTTTTTGGATTATTCCTTCCTGTTTGTTTCAAATGTTTTATTGTTAAGTGTAGTTTACCTAGCTTACTGCTTTCGTAGCACCGAACTGAGCCTGGGTGACTCCCACCAGGAAACAGGAAGAAGTTTTTTCTTACTTAGTCCTGCCTCCCTAAAGAAGGATGGGAATCACCCACAAGATGTCCTCCAAGCCTCAGGGAGAAGGACCCTTCACGGGTAAGTACCAATGGTCGCTTTCTCTCATATCATTTCCCTCAGAAACCTCATAACCCAAAATTCCACTTCAAACCTTATGCTGTCTTCAAAGGATTACGAACGTTGCAAGAGGAAAAAGTTCAAAAATTTTGCAGACAGTTCACAATATTGTCCACTGCATCTTTTTATTACTTACAGCAAAATTTTGCTAGTAGGTGGCGTTTTAAAATGGAGAAAACCAACACAGCTAGACAGTACAGAAATCACGAAGCACATTCTTATCTATTCAATTTTCTCTCTATTTGTTTACTCACCCTTCTGGTCCTAAATAATTAAAAGCCACCCACTCCCCTCGAACAAATGCAGCAAAGTATAATTTGATGTAAGGTTTCCTGGCTGGGGAACATTTTGCAGTACTGTAACTTTTGAGTGTGTGCATGCTCTCTTTCTCTCTCCCCTCCAGCAGAGAGAGAGAGACACACACACTGATGGCATGCTTGCATGTGTGGCAACCACAAAGCTTTGTTTCATTTCCCTCATTAAAGGAAAACACTAAGAAGTGCTACTGTTCCACCACATATGTGCATGTGACAGGAGAGAGAACATTCACTAACTTCAGAGGTGGAAGGGGACCAAAAGAGGGGATGGCAGTCAACCCTCTTTCTCATTAAAACATGTAAGAATAATTTGCTTTATCTACTAGTCTAAAGGAACAGCGTAATCCCTAGGGGAGTAAGAGCTAGTGCATACTGAAGGGGAAAGGTTAAATATTGTATGACAATTCCATTTGTTTTCATAGTTCTGAACAGCTTTCTCAAGAACTTATACAATCTATCCAAGCCATTCCTGAATCCGCTTTCTAGCATTTCTGAAGATATATTCAAAAAGACACATCATGCCAGATAAAATTTCTTCTGCGACTGAAAACGCAACATGATTTGCTGTTCATGCTATCAGCAGTGTTCTCCTGCTGGGTTTCCAACTGACATTTCTGAGTTACACAGGCTGCAATTTTAAAGGAAATTCTTTTAATAAAGAGTTGCTGTTTATTTCTCCAGTTTGGGGGGGGGGGAGAGATACAGTAAAATAGCAGGAGCAATTAAGAGTCTCCACAGCCAATTACGTGCGAGAGAAAACATTTACTATCAACACTGCTCTGCATCTCAAAGCCAACTGGTAGTTAATTAGAAGAATACAGGACAGTTGGATCCATGGAACGCGTAATCAATTTGAACATTTAGTACCAACATATCTTTAAAAACAATGAATAGAGCTGAAGCAGGGACATAAATAGCTAGCAATTTTTCATTTTAACCTTCTTCTTGGCTGCCAAGTTACATCTCAAGATGGAAGATTCTATGCTATAAATGAAGCACCCCACACAGCCTCCTTTCACGTTAGGTATGAATACAAGCACAATACAATGGTCTGAGGGAAGCTTATTTCCCTTTGAAATTAGTTTCCATGGCAACTGTTCTGTCATTGGCACTGAGAGAACACTGCTTATCTAAGTGTTTCTAGTATACATGCCAGCAGAACCATGATTTCAGCAAAAAATAAAATAAAATACCCTGATTTACGTACATACAAGCTTGAAGACTATCATTACAATATGAATGGGGGGGCTAAAATGACTATGCTGTTTACCATAATGGGAAGAAGATAATAGGAAGCTTCATTTTGTAAAAACAATTCACTTGCTGCTGATTAAAAACGAGGACCTCTCTGTTGCCACTGAACAGCTGTGTTTTTCCTCTGCACCAAGCAGGCCGTACAAACCACAGAACAGATACAGACTATGTCATTATGTCCGTAAAGGTGGGGCAATTCAGACAAGTGAGAGTCGATTTACACGAGCATCCTTATGCAAGTCTTGGCAATGCACTGGCTGAGTGAAAATAGGGGTGGGGGTGGTGAATTTACAACCAAAGGTGGAAATCATAACCAACATTTTGTTATGATCCAGCGTAACTGTAAAAAAAATCACACCCAATTCTCAGTGTGGCCCCACTGTGCAAATAAAAAAATTGCACAACGGGGTCACCTAGGGCTAGGTCAAATGTTTATGCAAAACTAGGGAACCCCCAGGTTAACAAAATAAATTGGGGGGGGGGAATAAAGCAAAGAAGTTTTAAAAGAGCTGAAATTTCACAGGGCTACCTTGAGAGGTTGTCTAGGTAACCCAAAATGGCTACTGAGATGCTGGTTGTTTCACTTTGATACTCAAGGAAGTCCGGGGGGGGGGGGGGAAAGCTTTATTTTGAATTAAAGGAGGTATGTGTTGGGGGGAGAGAAATGATCCGGCAGGAAGACTGGGAAGGAGGGAAGCAGAGCTGGAGTGAAGGGAGAAAAAGTGTAGCAAAAGGGGAGGAAAATTCCACTCCTCTGCAAGTCCCTCACTTGCCTTGTCTAATCTGGGTTTGAATAACAAGAGCTAACTATAGCTTATCAATTCAAATGTCAAGGCAAAGTATGGTTAACATTAAAGAAAAAGAGAAGCACCGCATTGATGGGGAAGGAGACCACAAGTGAGTGTTAAGACTTGTAGTTCATCTCCAAGTCAGGACCTGGAAGTTCATCTGAACTAAGCCCAAGAGTAAAGAACACAGAAGAATCGGCAACGAGGAGGGGAACCTTTCAAAATCATATCAAGTAACTCTAGCTGTTCCTTGTTGGCACGGGTTCACACTTGAATGAAACATCTGTTGTCTAAAATGTTATAAAGTCTTCTAATGCACTGGCTGAGATTACTAGCCACTGAAGTTAAATCTAAACTTGTTCTGCTCTTCATCCTTCCTTTCCTCAGAGCCATGCTCTGCTAAGTATATTTCTCCTGCTAAATTAAGAGGCAAAATTAAATGGTTTCTGCAAAAGTGTGCAGTTCTGTATAACATTTAATGCAGTATTGGGATTAGATCCCATAGAAGATTTCTGTGGATAAAGGAGGGGGCAATTTTCACTGCTTTTCCCTGCCACCCCCACAGCAGATCTTCAATCCCCCCCTCCATGTTTTTCCTGTGGGGGTCCCCTGTCTTCAACATTTCAGGTTGCAATTTGGGCTGCAGTAGGAGGGAGATGTGAGAAAATCATGCTCTGGATATTCTCAGCAGGATCCAAGCCCTTATCTACTAACAGTATTAAGCATTAAATAGTACAGAATATTGGTATCTGACAATATCACTTACCGGACATTTTCAGGTCTCAGTTTATCCAGCACCATTTCAATTAAATCAGGCCTAAATTCTTCTAGTAAATGCTCAGCCGCAAGAACTTCTTCTATGGGATAATACTAAAAGAAATTACAATGTTGTGGGGGGGGGGGGGAAAAGGAAATCTATACTGGATAATATTAAAGAAACAAATCACAGTCACTAAAAATTGCACAAAAGAAATTCAAGGCATTTGGTCCTATGGCAGTATACCATAACATTTCAGAACAAAAGGCCACCCACTCCAAGAGTACTCCAGACATTAATAAAAAGAATTTTAAAAGTAGTAAATGCTGACCCCTGGAGGATATTTCTCAGTATATAAAGTAAGCACTTAGTAAATGTGCTCATATATTAATTTTCCTAAAAACCAAGAACAGTTACAGGAATTCAGAAGAATTCAGACCAACCAGAGTTATGAAAGAAGGTGGGAGGAGGAGGAGTTCCTTAGAGGACCCCTAATTTGCATGCCACGGTTTGCAACAATCCTTGTCTGTACAGGACCCTCAGCAGACAAGGCTGCTACAAAATACTGAAACTTCAGAAGAGAGTTCCAGACTCCCAGTACTGAATCACTGATAGATAATGTTCAGCTTAGTAAGACTACAGCAGGATAACAGCAACACCTTCATTGCATCGTGTCCCAAGTGAGCATGATAAAGGGAAACTTATTAATAAATATGCATCTCAACATACGGATAAAATTATACTGACAGTGTATTTATCCGAATACCAATTGGTCAGCAGTGCTAGGAAAAATGAAACCACATAAATTCTTCAGGCACATCCTGCATAAATCAGGGTTCTAGCCTTGACTACCCACCTTGTTTCATAGTCTGTACATGGAACCATTAGTTTGGAAACAACAAACATTGATACCATGACTTTTTACAGCAGCAACTATGTGGTAAATCAGGGCTCTACTAGGCCTCTTCTAGATGGCTCTACCTGTCCAGTGCAAGATACAAAGTGAAGGCATAAAAAATTATCGCCATGCTTTTCTCCCACACACTTCATTTTAAAGACAATGCTTCTGCTGAATTGTGGAAGCACATGTATTCCTATATCACACTCACTCTTGCATCCTATATACCACAACATTGTCACTCACATGCAGCATCCCTGCAATTTTTGATGTGTAACCGCAGGGCCTTTCTTTATCTTTAAATCTGAAGGCTACAGCATTTAGATCCTAAAAAGAGAGAAAAAGAAGACAACACAGCAATGCAAATTTCTGTGGTATAAATAATTGTCAGGCTATTATTTTTATCTAATAAGAGAAAACGGACGTCGTACATTTACTTCATTTAGTTTCTGAAACTGGCAACCAACTGAATATACTGGAGTCTAATGAATGCTGCCAAATATAAGGAAATAGGCTCCAACTCTCCTCTCCCTTCCTCACTATAGTCCCCTGCACTGCATCCCTGCATCTCATGCAGTTCCCCTCTGATGGGTCCTCTGATGCCCAGCGGCCATTTTAAAGAGGAGGCAGGAGGTTGCAACAACAAGGGGGAGGCAGCACAGATCACCTCCCCTTTCTTGCTGCTCCTTGGAGTCCCCTGCAGTTGTCCAGATCCAAGCCTACAGGTAACAACAAAATAGCTGGAAGACACTATTGTCTATGGGAACAAGCAGAAAAGGGTGCAGTTAACTTAATAAATAAACAAATAAGATGACAGTAAATACTGGGCCAGGAGGGCCTGGCGTGATGTGGTCCATGGGGTCGCGAAGAGTCAGACTCGACTGTACGACTGAACAACAACAAATACTGGGCAGCAGCAAGCTACAGATTTCACAGAACAGCAACAAAAAAGACTCAGCTTAGAGGGAACACTGGTTCCAAGTGGTAAATAACACAGTCCTTTACAATGAATACAAGATTATTGATAATCTGAACCTGTATTGAATGACCTGCAACATGGTTTTTCTTGAACAAATTACAAGATAACTCTTTCATATGGGAGGTCCTTAACAAACAATGGTCCACTCCCATGTTCTGTTTTCAATGAGAGATGTAAGTCCCCCAAATGCTGCTTTAGGGCATCTCAAGGACCAGCACCATAGGCTGTCTACTCCTACCCCAGGGCATCTCTAGGACTAGTACTGTAGGGTGCCAGGGGAAACTGGCTCTAATTCAATGCATGAGAGACTGGGAACATAGAAGATATCCATATCTCCGCGCTTCACAAAATATCACTGAGACTGATGCCATAGGCAAAATGATAGGTGATGCCAAACCTCCCAGCCTTGAGAAGCTATAATGGGGGGGAAAGAACAGAAGAAATCCCCTCACTCACTAGTGACTGAGGAAGCTGGACAAAGTTACACTTTCAACTGGTGTCTTTTTGGACAGGAAAATTAAAAGTTGAAACCCAAATGTAAGAGATATTTACAAGTATACTCTCCTTTACAAGGATTGGTCTCACACGCTCCCTATCCGAGTTTAATGCTTACTGTTCCCGGAATTGCCTTTCCATTAACTTTGATAAGAAAAAAATACTGGTTTTCTCTAAATCATGGAAATGTAGCCGTTGGTCAATAGCGGGAAGAGAAATACAACAGGTAAAATCCTTCCGGTATTTATGAGTGTTATTTCGTTACAATCTAAGCTGGTGCACGCATAGAGAACACTCCCTGACTATGGCTAAGAATAAGGCTGCAGCCCTAATTCGGTTTTTTTTTCCAAAAGGGTAACCAATTCGTACCGGCTGCACTTAAGATGTTCCAAGCAACTGTTATATCTCGTTTGTTATAGGGGATTCCTATTTGGATCCAGTCTTTCACTAGGAGAGTCGAGAGCATCTACTCCACCTTTTTGCGCAGGATTCTTGGTGTCTCCAACTCAGTGTCGCTCTTTGCTCTTGGCTCTTGTTCACATTTTGTTCAGACACCAAACCAAGATCCATCAATAACAGCGCACTTCATCATCCAACAGGTCTGACTAAATGCTCAAGGTTTTAAAATAATTCACATAATTATTTCTAGTTGAAGTGTTAAATTAAATAGCAATCTGGTTAGCTGACAGGCCACTTTTTGTGGTGTGTCATCCATGGTACCGTATATCGCCAATTTGACAATCCCAGTTTTTAGGAGGGTCTTTATGCTTGCAAGATTTAACCTTTTCCCTTCAGTAGTGGTCTCAGGTAGATACAGAGGTGTTCCGTATAAGGATAGACTTTGCAACTGTGATTTTGAGGAACCTGATTCTGTCACCCATATTCTTTTTCGTTGTCCTAAATATTCCGTTATGCGCAATATTTTGATTCGCCCTCTTCTCCCTTCGCAGAGAGACTTTCTTGATTTAAATTTCTTTCTATCAGACAAGAGCCCAGCAATAACGCTATCTGTTGCAGAATTTCTGACCCATGTATGGAAGTCAAGAGTAATATCCTGTAAACCTTGTAAACCATGCTAGGATTGCCTTGTATTTTGAGATATTGGGAATATTGGTTGATGTTGTTCCTTGTACCTACCCTTTAACTTTTTCCTTTGTTTGATTTATCTATGTTATGCCGAATAAAGGTTTTCTGTTTCTGTTCTGTACAAGTATACTGAATTTATAAATTACTATATTTAAAATGAGACATTACAAATATTTACATGTTTGTTGTTCAAACTATTATTCATGAAGAAGCACTTATCAGGGATAACCTTGTTTCTAGCCATGGTGTTTTTAAGCCAAGAAAATCGAGAGTGGCTATCAAAATGCTAGAATGAAAATTGATATCATACCTTACATTCCTGAAAAACCCACTCTTGGGGTCCTTCTGTTCTCAACTTTTGTATATACTGGAACATGTGCAAAATAATATCATCCACGTGTACTAAAAACAAAAAAGATTACACGCATATGCAATTATTTTTCAGAAACCAACTCCACGATTTTGTGTCTGTTAGACTTTTAAAACTTCAGGCTTCTGATAGAGAATAAAGTTGTGCAAAAAGGCTACTTAAAATTACTGAAAGTATCAATTACTTTGTTTTAATATGCATACAGTACTTTAAAAGCATTTTTATGAAAGAATACAGTAACAGGTACACACAATGCACACAACATAGCTTTAAGGGATATAAAAGAATCCCTGGCAATACAAATTCATTGGACACTTATGGGATTGGTTTCTACTTCCTGTGAGCCAAAAGCAAAGCTTCATTCATGGAAAGGAACTTTCCTATCTTGCTCCGTCTTTTATAGCTCCCCCATAACCGCAAAATGTTAGTGTTAATAACAATTTAATTGCCAAAGTCCTTTGTTTCCAAAATAGTTTATTTTGGAAAAATTAGCCTATAGCTAAAATTAGCCTGTTTATGTCCACATAGCAACCCTCATATTTTATCACCATAATTTCTTTCTCCTGGCTACACAAAATAAGCCTAATTAGAATAGCCCATTATGTTAAGACGATCTAAATGCAAATGCATCAGAAAGAAAGGAATGATTCACTCACAAAGTCCTTCTTCAGTGAGGTCAACATTAATGATGAAAAACATGAAACCTCTAGCACCTTCTTTTTGTCCTCCAACCAGTGTATTTACCCAGCCTATATAAAAAAAAAAATATATACACAATTATTGTTGCTGTTTTGCTCTCACACAAGACACAATAAAAGAACAAATGTCTGCATTCTGTTACCACCTAATGTATCAGGAAGAATAGATGAAGTGACAAAATCAGATTACATGTACACAAAATAAAGTGCATGAAACATTACGCTTTTGGATGAAGAAGGATTTTGCACCCACTTCACACGGGTCTAATCCCAGTGTTCTGTTTGTTGAACCCACAGTGGCTGTCTTTCCTCACTAGATTTTTAAAAAAAGTTTAGGGTAATATGCTCTGACACAAGGGAAATACTAGAGAATTCTGAGTTTAGTCCACACAACCCTCTGAAAACTAAAAGATTGTGAAAGTGTCCCCACCCCACCCCATGTCTTCTCCCTCACTCATGAATGTTTAAGTATTAATAATTGTTTCAATAGAGTTTTTAATTCTGGTTTGGAGGAAAAGTGCTAATTGAAGGCTTGGATCCCACCTAAAGTTTCTGGATGGAAGGGATTTCCATCCATGAAAGTGCGACTCCCCCAATTTCCCCCCTCCTGCAGCAGCCTGAAACGTCTCTCTGAAATGCGGCTCTTGGGAAACTCTCAGAGGGGAGGGGAGACTTGGAGTGCTGCCACAGCAGAGGGGAAATCAATGAAAATCGCACCCGCACACCCCTTGCATGTGCAGAAAGTTTAGGCAGGATTTGGCCCACAGTTTGCTGAGGCACTATGACACAGCAAACTATGATAAGGTCAGGGGCTGGAGGAAGCACATGAATCTGCAGCTCATCCACAATCCTCCCAGTGGTTTGGAAGGTTGTTTGAAATGAACCTCAGTCTGATCCAATGCTCCTTGAACATTCCAGTGTGCACACAGAGCTCTTGCCCAAGTGGCCTCACCTACTTCCTTTAAGCACTGACAACAGAGCCACTTGCACAATATGCACGGAACTATCCCTGATGTTGGAGTTGATGGGAAAGTCCACATATGCAAATAAAGTTCGTCTCCATGACCTTGGATCATGTTGGGTGAGTGTCTGACTTGTTTGGACAAGATTCTACTCTCATCATTGCCTGACCACAAAATTTAATTTGGTAGATATTTGCTTAAACCAGATTGGTCAAAGCAAGGAACCTGACTCGCCAGCTAGTTTGGGGGTTGGTAATTTGAAGGGCAAGGTAACCGCTGGGATAATTACTAGAAAATAAACAGCAGGAAGGAAGCAAACTCCTGATGTCATTTTTTTGTGTGTGTGTGGGGGGACCACTTCACCATTCTCAAGAGGAGGACTGTCACACAGTAGAATGCTTACAATCTGTGCACAAGAGTATGCAAAGGGGAAATTTAGGACTGTGTGCGTAGATAAGAAAATGAATGCATAACTCCTACTGGTTGACGTCAAGAAGTGGGCAGTAGAGAACTCAAGGAATGCTTAAAATAGGGGGAACCGAGCAGATCCTAACTTGACAGGGAACATACAGCACAGGATAAGACTTTCACTGTGGTGTGGTAGAGGGTTAGCTTATGTGTATCATAAGGTTTGGAATGATACACAGCTTAATAATGACAACAGGAACCCTTTTTCTAACCTACATAATGTCAACCTATATGTCAGTTGCCTAGCACAGTTAACTTAAGATGTGAATGGTTCTTATTTAGATATTTGGTTTAATAGTTATGAACTAATTAAAGCAAGATGGCACATTAAATATTGAAGTGCTAGGTTTAAGTGTATTTCACTTATAGCTCAACACTGCACACTCTGAATAAATGTATTTTCCAGTAGCTGAATTTAGCTAAAGGTGACATTATCCACTTATAACATGAAGCTATTACTACAAGACAAAAAATCCCAGTGATTCTTCCATGCTCTTCCTTGACAGCCAATTATAGGAAATGCACTGCAACTTTCAGCAGCATATTACCCAATCATTTGTCTATGTAACAATTTATAAGTAGGGTAAGCATGAGGAGGAACATGGATTTCCCACCTTGTTGTCACATTTCTCTGACATTTATGTAAACTCATTCTCTCAAATTACTTATATTTTCTAAGTGATCCCCAAGAGCACCAAAAATTCAGAAAAGCATCAAAACAAAACAGGCTCGAATTCACATTAGAATTTTGTTCTGAGCTGCTGAAGTTCCTTACATCTATGTCCTGACAAGAGCACTTAAGTACAATCGTGGTTAAGGCTCACACAGAAATAACACCAAGCCAGAGTTTGGCAAACTTCAGTGCTCCCCTAGGCTCATGTCCTCCCTCCCAAACCCTTGCATGTAGAAGGCTCCCTCCTCCACTTCCTGTTTGTTACTAACTACAGCTTGCATTAGTGTCTGAACTGGCAAACTATGCTTACCACCTTGCCTCCAAAGCTATGGTTTGTGAACCCATTTCAAACTGCGGTTTCAAGTAATGTGCTACTTACAGGCAAGGTACTAAACGTATCTGGGTATCACTGTGGTTAGGAAACCAGGAAGTGGAGGCAGGAACCTGTAAGTCTGAAGGATGACTCCTAGTTGCCAGAAGATGGTTTGGCATTAAAGCTGAATTAATCCAATTAATAATAGGTTGCGTTAAGTTTTATAATTAATAACTTGTATCATGTAAGCCAAACTATCACCCATTGTTATGTAAGCACTTGTAGTAAAGGCAGACAATGTACATGACTTTCTAAGCAAAGTAATGAACAGCATGCTGATCATCAGGACAAATACTTTTTCAGGTATACAGAACATTGAAGCCTTGATTTAAAAACAAACTAGTAGTTCAGGACAATAACAATAGAATTCAAACAAAACACATTACAAGTAAAATACAGGATTTTTTAAAAACTCCACTTACCGATATAATGAAGCATTTATGTTTAACAGCTTCATAACATGCTTACAGTGCATTCCTATACAGACGTCAATAGACTTAGACCAGAATAACTTTGTACAGCCGTGTGCTGTTAATACCTTAATGCCACTTCATTGCTGAACTTACCTTTAGCTTTGAGTTCTGATAAAAGACTTCCTGGACCTTCATGCCCAATAAGGTGACCGAGATAATGACCAGGGTTTGACTTATAATACTTCTGAAGGTCTGGTATGGGAAACGTGACATAAAGATTTCTGATGTCTTTAATAGGTACCACTTTGTAACGTTGCTGAGAAATAATTTAAAAAGTCAAATTAGACAAACTAAATCCAATGTTTTACCTTTATGCCATATGTCTACCATGTTTTTGCACATACACCAGACGCTGTTTACTTCATGCATATTTATTTCATACACATACACAGACTATAATGCAGTATTAATATTGCTCAGCTGCATTTCTATCAGAACAATTATAAAAATTTCAGGAAGTGGCTGGTTATACCGGCACTAACCACCACCACCCAAAAGAATAATAAACAAACCACGCTTCGAAATCATGCCACCAGTTCTAATCTCCTACTATCACAACACCCAAATTATCTCTTTAATCCTCATCACATTTACAAACCTACCTGTATTTAACCCAGTAATGCATATAAAACTAGAACATATTTTCTAATTTAAGTTTGCACTTTTAAAATGAAGATGTTACATTAATGTTGCAAAACGCACCCGAAGATGTTCTTCCTGGAAAGGGTGTTCAGGGAATTCTGGTAAAGGAACATTTTTGTTTTCTACTTCAGAGAACAGCTTTACTATCAAGTTGGTCAACTCATCTAGCGATTCTACATAAAAACAGTTTAAGACAAAACAAAGTTACTCATACTAGGCTTTTCTTGGGGTTGTCCCTTATAGAATCAGGGCTAATAAACATATACCTAAAAATATACTTTACCATCTCTGCCCAGAATGCAGCTGGTGTGTAAATGATGATTGAAGTGCTAAGGACTAAAAAAGGTCTAAGGACTAAAAAAGGTTTAGTGATTGAAGTGCTAAACTAGCTTCTGGGAGACCCAGTTTTGAATCCCCCACTCTGCCTTGGAAGCCTGCTGGGTGACCCTGGGCCAGTTGCACACTCTCGGCCTAACCTACTTTACATAGTTGTACTGAGGACAAAATGAAGCAGAACAGAACAATGCGAGCCCTTTGGGTCCCCACTGGGGAAGAAATATAAATGAAGTAAGTAAATAAATAAAATCTCAGCCAAACTCTGGTTTAATTTCTAATATAACACATTTATCCTGTATATTTTCTCTCTACAAATATTAGAGCTAAAACCTTTTTTGAAAAGGGAGGCCAACATTTTCAGGGCACCAAATTTTGCAAACATTAAAATTTTTACTTCTACCACAAACCTGAAGCCTACATACACTTAGCCAAGTATTTCTTTCTGACAAAGAGTAATCCTGCACAGGATTACACTGTAAATATATCCTATTAAAAAATCAAACCACTTCATCAAGCATGGATAGATATGATTTAGATATGACAGACAGATGATGGTTGAGGCAGTACAGGTTAATGCAGAAAGTTGATTTAAGACTTAGGAGGGCTTTATTTGACCACATGTTCTTTTCCCTTGCCCTTATAAACTTCATCCTTAGTGAGCTAGAATTTCAAAGTGCTTTACTAGAATTTGCAATAGTCAAGCTAGCACTGGACCACAGTACAGGAAAACAGGGGGAATAACATGTGGGAAAGGAAGGACACATTATATTTTGGCCCAGTCCTGGTCCCTAAAGAATGGGCTTGCATTGTATGTATGCATTGCTATCTGGACTCCTGCACTCTCCCTCACACTTCTGTCTCTGTGAAAATGAGCAAACCTGCATGCAGAACCTTTCCACAGTCAGAGATAATAATTGCAATAAAATTCACATTAAACAAGATCTTTATTATACCCCAAAAGTAAATAAAATTCATTTGACATGTTTACTGTTGAAAAATATGTGTTAGCTTCGTGCACTGCCATGCTTGCAAACAGAAAACAATAAAAGATTTGCACAGTAATTTAAAAAACGCATAAAACAAAAAGCACGGTATAGTTTTGAGGATAAGAGAAATTCCATGATCGCTATCAGGAAAAGTTCATTCATCATCTGGCATGCACTGGATCGTTTCCATGAGTGCACAGACAGTTGCCAACTGTCTCTTTCCTGACGAGGCTCTCATGCCCCATGAAGCAGCACTCCAGAGGATCCCTTGGAGGAAGGAGCTTTTTGAAGTGTGTAGGACAGCCATGGAAAGGGAAGACCAGGAAAGCGCCTGTAAGGAACATTACCTGCAGATCCCACTTTTTATATCTGAATACATTCTTAACCAGATGAACGTACTTATTGAAAGCATGTTTATTCAATTACCCCTTTCATGACTTACACATTTGTGGTTCAACCTCTGAAAATCCCAAACTATTAACTTCCTTTATGTAATCCACTACAGAGTAAGTTCCAATAGTTTTCAGTTTTAAAAACTATCCCATTAACAGTTTGGCGTTCTTACCTCGTCCTAGAACACAGACAGCCATTAAATTTGATGAATAATATGTGGAGTGAAACTTCAATAGCTCTTGTCTGACATCTATTCCTTCTTGGTTTGGTCTTGTTTCCAAAGTGTATTTGTTTCCTATAATGCAAGTTAGTCAGTCCAGTCAAAGGCGTTTAAGTCATGCAAAGTCACAAGAAAACAGAGAGAAGGGGGCACTAGCTTTCCTAAGATCTTAATCCCTGCAATTGCAACACAGGCCTGGATCTAACTTGTGGCATCGATGCACTTGGGGAAGGGAACTCCCTGGACTCCCTCTTCAGCTGCAACTTGCCATATCCCCCAAGTTCTGTCTTCCCAGAAGTCAGCAAGCCCCTGTAAACAGTGTGGGGAACAGTGAGAGTGCAAAATCTGTGGAAACCAGCCCCTCCTCCACCCCATTAGCAGAAGTGCCTTCCATGAGTGGAAAACATAGCTAGGATCCAGGCCAGAGGCTTGTACATGTCAGTCTTCAGTCAGATCACTGAATAGAGAAAAGAAATATTGCTGGGTGCTGTTCTTATTAGTGTTCCTATCAGATGAAGCTGCACTCTTGCCATTGACTTATTTATTCAACTGGCCCTTTCATAACTTCAGCAAGACCACCTGTGGCTCAGCTAAAGTAGTCTGGAGACAGCTGATATCTGGAATTGTGCAAAACATTAGTTCTCAAAGGACTGCCTGTGCAAGCAAGCCTATTTTGAGTTTTCTGGAGATTGCCCATACAATGAACAGCAGGAGTTAGACAAGCTGTAGGCAGAAATTCAGACTAGCAAAACAAACACAGTAGAGTGAATCGGGAAGGTGTGGGAAAGACTGTGAAGAAACAGATGGTGGGGCGGGAGGGTATGGAGGGAGAATAGAAGACTACCCTGTTGTAGACTCTGCTCTAGCATATCAATTAGCACTATCAAACTGGGGCCAAGGGAATTGCTGAATTCATAAGATGTAACATTATTATATGAATACAGTGATAGCAGTTTCTACTTAATGCTCCCTCTAAGCTGTGGAGTCTTGTAAGCGAAAATTCTACTTTGTGAGCTACTGGCATTAAAGTTGTGAGTGAGCGATTTGGCTACTGCATAAATTATTTTGCTCTGGAGCCATCCTTCCTGAGCTAAGACAAAAATGTGTGAGCCAGAGGCTAAAAAACCGTGAGCTAGCTCACACTAACTCAGTTTAGAGGGAACACTGCATTTGACTCTTCAGGGTTTAAAACATGCCATATGATACCAAAACAATTTACACTGCAATCCCAAAACCTACTTCTAGGGTGTAGTGGGACTTGCTTCTGAATAAACATTCTAGGACTGCATGGCACATCGACAAGCTGATCAAAGTTTGAGTCTTATCATGATTACTACAGCTGAAAATACTTCTTTGTTTTGCTCGCAGTGAAAAACAAAAAAATCAAGCTAGTTTCACGGTGCTGACTTGAAACACCAGTGCTACAAAGCGTTCCAAGCCAACATAACACAGTCATGAAGCTGGCTTCAGGCAAGAAACCATGAAATGAGTGAGATGATGGATGGAAAGATGACTTCCTAAAAGAATGAGAATAGGGTGGTACAGAATGATCAACTCAGCCCACAACTCAGCCCACAACTTAGCAACAAGAACAGGGAAGCACAAACAACAAAATGATTAAGAGCATATAAGCTGCCTGCATAACAGTACTGTTCAGTTGTTTGGGAATGCAAAAAATCTTCAGGCCTTTGGCACTCCGACTGTGAATTAGTCACAAAGTTATCACTGCAGAATCCTATCGCACAAAACACAAGTATCCAGTGTCACTGCTTTTTCATACAAGTGGTGGTTTTATTTTTAACCCTAAAATCTACATTTGCAAATAAGAACTTTCAAAATAGTATATTTAAGGACCGAATGTAGTATTTAAGGACCGAATGAGTCCATATCTAGTACATTCCTAATGTACATCAGGATACCCATCCATGTGGTTTCTGCCTCTGTTCTCATTCCCACAGCCCCACTGCTTCCACTTGGAAAAAATAATGTTTCAGCAGGATGTGCATTGTTGGAGTGAAGACAGGCAGAGAGACGCCTCAAGAGCACACACACAACTGCTAGTGCATACATGAAGACCATGTTGAATTGCAAATTTTTCTATAGTCCTGCTCCCAATTACTCAAGCTTAAAACCACTGACATCAGTGGCTCTAAGTACCTGTAACTATGCAAATGACTGCTGCTACTGTGTGCTTGAAATTGATGCCCAGCCATTTTCCCTTATGGTTGCTTCATAAGGAACAATCCTAAACAGTTCTACTCAGAAGTAAGTCTAGTATTATTCAACGGGACATACTCCCAGTAAAGTGGCTGTAAGATTGCAACCATAATCGCCTTAGCTACTCAATGAAGGAGAGTAACAAATCCAGATATTAGCTATGAAAAATGGAAGCCAACTTCTGCTGAATTAAATATAACTAAAAATCTGGGAAAACTTGAAATGGTTATAAATGAAGAGCTGTTTGGACAGCTTTTACCCAAACAGAAAAATATGCTTCTAATTTCACTAGTTATCCAGTGTTATATCCCTCTATTTGGGCATAATTATGGCTTTGACTTGCTTTAATTGATCTAAACAGCTTAGCTCATGCTCCTAATAATGGTTAAATTAACGTTTCTACTTTTAAACAGCTTAGCTCATGCTAATAATGGTTAAATTAACGTTTCTACTGAATAGCTTCAAATGCATGTCATCCCCTTTCCATTTATGTGACATGTTCTCAGTTAACTTTACAAGTGAATCATGTGCGACAATTATCATGCCTGTAAAGGCTGTATCCAGTAAATGCCACATTTCCCACTACTTTTCATTGCTTATTTTGACAAGTTCTTTTTTTGTTTGTTTATTTGATGCAAACAATGTACTGAGGCATCATGCTTCAAAGGTTTGGAGGGGAAATAACCTGTTCAATCTCTTCCATCCCCATCCAAGACACAGCATGAATAGGTTGGTGGAAAACCATGCTCTCTCTCACACACCTGTTCCAAATATGCTGAAGGGGTGATTGGGGTTTCCAGTAGCCTTCTCCAGCTGACTGAGTCTCCAGGCATCATTCATTAAGTTCTTCTCATGCTCAGAATCAACTGCATTTACTTCTCGGTCTTTGCAGTTTTCATCAAACAGAGGGCACAAGAAAAACTGTGCAAACCTATATGAAAGGTACATGTTTTCCGTATCAGTACACTGAACGCATAATTATAGTGTTTAACAGCTAAATAACAGAACACAAATTTAACAGTGTGGAAGAGCGCATCTGTTTTTGCTACTCAGCTAGGATGGGCTTTGCCCACCCTCATCTTTGGTTCTGAATGCTCTGGGAGAATGCCCAAATATATATTAGGCTCTTGCTTGACCTGAGCCCCAGCACTGGGAAGTGGACTGGAGCAGCTGCTCTGATAGGTATAGTGGGGCAGGCTGTATGCTACCACACACCAAGCTGGTGTACACTACTAGATTCTTGTTACTCCAGCTCTTCTTCTTATCTATTTCTGTGTAGGTGTCTCTTAGGGACACCTAATTCTATGTGGTTCTCTCTTAGAAATCACAGTTTGGGATACCCTAGGGATGCCTAATCATACGTAGATGTCTCTTAGGGATCACGGTTTGTGAAATATCAATACTGGAAGACCTTCTAGAGATATGACTCCAGAACTCTCCCAGAAGCTACTTCTAATCTGTTAAGGGATACTTGTATTTTCCTTGGATTTGGCCATGATCCAACAATTCCTGTCCTGAGTCTTGATGCTGAAAGGCCTTTTTATTGAACCTTCTATTAGGTTTCAGTTTCTCTTTTTTCAAATGGTTAGATGTCTTATAAACTGCAAGTTTTTTGCAGTCTTAACCAGTGCCAAGATATTGTTCACTGGCACCTTTAACACCAACTTAGTTCTATTCACAGTATAAGCTTTTGTGTGCTTATACTGTGAATAAAACCTTGTTCATCTTAAAGGTGCTACTGGACTCAAACGTTGTTCTGCTCAGACCAACATGGCTACCTCACCTTAATCTAAGACACTATTCAGTAAAACATACGTAGCCAAAT